CCGGTATCTCTTCGATGCGACATATATACGACATGCTCTGTGCAAAAAACATGATTTACCAAAATTTTTTGCTTAATATTATTCAAAATACCACTCAGGAGACAATTAATTGCTTACGAGTTCTTTATGCCGCCGCAAAAAGAATAGAATAATTGAACTTCCACTATTCAATAATTAAATAATTGAATAGTTGAGGTAGATTTTCAATAATTAAATTCAACTTTCAAGTTTGACACTACTGTTACCTCCTATATCTCCTATACCTCCTATATCTCCTATATCTTCTATATCTCCTATATCTCCTATACCTCCTATATCTCCTATACCTCCTATATCTCCTATACCTCCTATACCTCCTATATCTCCTATACCTCCTATATCTCCTATATCTCCTATACCTATCTATCTCTATACATCTTACCCTAGGACATAATCGAGTTTCCGGGGATACTCTCCGAAGACATGTAATCGATCTGCGTGGTTTCTTCCCAGTTTTACATTGAAAACAGAATTCGAATGATTCTTGATATTTATATCCTTGTAGAGCTTATCGAACTCTATCGAATCATATAAAAGTATCTACTAAAAACATGTAGAATATAATATTTCGCTCGACTTTAAGGACTCAAACATTCGAGATTTTTTTTACTTTTTCAAAAAATGTAACGTAAAAATTTTCACTTAAGATTAGTAAAATGACCATAACATTGTTATGAATTTATGTATTTTGAACTATCTTTTTTTCAGAATATAGCTCTAACCTTTCTCTACAAAATGACATAATTTGATTAATAACTTCATAGAAGTTTATTGTAGATATCATCGATTTGCTGAGAGGGATCGAAACTTTCTGATCACCCTTTAGTTCAATATTACTTTTATTTTCTTTCGAATTTACATTTTAATTGATAAATATAATATATTTTAAAAAATGTGACAATGTTTTTAAATACTTCTACTAAAGAATGATTTAGAATTTCATATTAATAACTTTGTCTCCATAATAAAATAAGAATCGTGTTGACTTTTATATATAATAACTCACTTGAACATCGTGTCCTAAAAATATACACATTCCAATATCAATAGAAAGACTTTTTTCTTTCGAGGCAATATAAAAGGATTTTTCTATCCATAATTATATATTTTCCATATATTAATTTCATGATAATTAATATTAATTTCTTTTAGTTTTGAATAATTACAATTTCATTAAAATAGAAGTCATCATTCAATATTTGTTTTGTATATCAATCAATTTTTTTTTCAAATATGGCAATCAATTTATAGATTGTCTTTGTTTAGTCATATTTTATTATTAAAAATGATGACTATGTAGTATATATATCGAGAGATATTATTAAAACATATCATGTTTGCTTCGTTTGCTACATTTGCAATCTTCATGTACATACGCATCATCTTGTTATCATCAAGTTTTCACATATAATGTCTGTCTATTTGTCAGCATTGGTAATGCTTTTTCATTCTTTTTTTTCAATATTCAAATTATACAAAAAAAAGAACACATGAAGTAGTTATATGTTTCGTTCTCTCTTCTTCTTTTTTCTCTATCTTTCTCTAATTTGATTCCTTTTTTTACAAGTACTTCACCTTTACAACCGCTAGTATCACTACTATTTGGGTATGGTTGAGTGATCTTGCATTGGTTGATATGTATGCATATTTTAGGAATTGCCTTCGAAATTCGATTTACGTATGTTTATATTGAACCATCATCATCATCATCATCATCATCATCATCCTTTTCGTCATGTTTTTAGAGGTCTTTACTGTCCTATTCTCTATGCCTTTTTCTTACTCTTATACGCTCTGTCTATCTATTTGATAGAACATGCACTGAATGTCTTTTTTTTCTTACGAAAGATATTTAGTTATAAGTTGTTTTCTTTTTTTTCCTAGTTATCAACAAAAAACAACATAGATGGAAAAGAGCGAAAGAGAGAGTAAAAGAAAGTATGCATGCTGAATTTTGCGTACGAAAAAGATATTGTATATCATGCGAACAGGCAATAAGTGCCAATGATATAGAATAGAATAAAGAATTCTAAAATTTTCTTTTTCTCATTCTAGTTTAAGTCTTTCTTACTTAAACTTTTCGTGTGTATATTACCATTATGTCCGTCCCACCCTCGCGGCCTTATCCTCCTCGCCAATATCCATCGTAAGTTTATATTTAATAGTGAAGAATAAAAAAAAAAAGAAAGAAGCAATTCTGTAATTGAAAATACTTCTATTTAGAATCAGACCTACATTCATTCCTAAAGCGCCATTAGCTAGTCATGTTGATGCCGGACTAGGTGCGGGTGCCGCAGCTGGTGGCCTTGCTGGTTTAATCGGTGGTCTGAGTGCACCGTTACTTTGCTTTGGATGTCTATCAGCAATAGCGCTTCTTGGACTCTTTGCCACTATGATAGGTGCAGCAGCCTATATGAGTATGTCAATATTGTTTCACTACATTTTAATTCTGATTTATTTTCTTTCAATTTAGACTCAATTCAACGTCAAATTCGTCAAAATGCTCAAGGTGCTGGAACAATGATTGAACTTAATCTTTTAGTTCTTTTGTGTGCACTTCTCTGTTCGATGTATGTATGGAAAAAAAATCGACGAGGTGGTGCTCTTAGTTATTGAATAGTGAACATACACATCTATTCAAACACGAATATATATATACATTTGGAATAAGAAACACAAACATACATATCTTTCACTTTTTTTTCTGTTTTTGCAACACAACTATATATTTCCTACTTCTAGCTTGATGACTATTTCTTTTTGTTTGCATCCTTTATGATTTGCGCACCAGAAAAACATTTCTGAATAGGTACAATGTGTTTTCATATCGTCAACAATTGTTAGTCATCATTGTCATTATTGCTTTCTTTTTTTATTCGTATGATAAGGCACAAAAAAAGCTGCTTAATTGTTGCTATTATCAAAAGAATACATACATATTTGTATTACTTTTTTTTTATCATTTTCACCTTTTTTTGTGTGTATTTATGAATTATAAAAAAGAAAAAACCAATACAAGTATATTACAAAGATTTCTTTTTGATCTACTTATCAAATTTTTTCAATTAAATGATTTATTAGAAACATGATAGTTTCTGTACTTCTTTTTTTAACCCTCATTTATACAACCTTTTCTTTTAGCTTGTCTAAACATCGATGATCATTACCAATCAATTTCGTTATCAAGGTCGATTTTCGTTTGTTTGCTTATGCATTCATCAGTAGAAACTTGTATGTCTGTTACATACACATGCATTCGTTGTGGTGTGTTACGCATGACCAAGTTTTTTTTTGCATTTTTTTCTCGTTTTTTTTCACATATAGATTGGCATACTCATCGTTAGATACGTAGGCTGGTGTGCATAACTTGACTCCTTTTCTTTTTCCTTCCCTCGTTTTTTTTCCATCTATATAGGTAATGTTTCTCCTATATTATTATAAGTCATGCATATTGAAGAAATAGTTATTCCTCGCGTGTCTCACCCTCATGTACTATCCCCGATTACCACGAAGAGAAAAGAATGCCGTCAACCATGACGCGAGTGTGTACAGATAGATGGTCTCCTTCGGATTGAAGAGAGAGAGAGAGATATGCAGAAATGTAAAGAAATACAGAGTAGCGTATTTTTTTCAAACAATAATAAGCATTGAGTCTTATTTACTTCTAGTGTAGGTGAAGAAAGAGAGATAGAGAGAATATCTATAGAAGGATTTAGTAGAGGTTGTTTACTTTTTTCTCTTAAAAAAAGAACATAAAACGTCTTTTTCTTTTTTTTTTCGTATTGATCACCAAAGATAGATTTTTTTTTCCATCGATACATTGCAGATCGTTTCCCATCATAGAGTAGGAATATGTACCGTCCACGGTAAGTCTTCGAAAATTTATTTTTTTACATAAGTAGTATTATAAACTATTTGTCTCAAGATACCTACCTCCACCCAGGCCACTACCACCACCAGCAGCAGCAGCAGGTGCTGGTGCACTTGGCGGAGCATTAGGTGGCGTCGGTGCTGCTGTCACCTGTATCTGCTGTCTTGCAGCAATTGGTTTACTCGGTCTGTGGGCAACTTTTATTCCATTTGTTGCTTTCTTCAGTAAGTTATATATTGATACTTTCAATTGAATATTTTTGTTTTGCTTTAATTAGAATATGCATGGGATCAAGAGACAAGAGCTTTTGGTGGTAGTCCAAACTTTCAAAATCTTCCACAAATCATTTTTCTTCTTGCAATCTGTCTGTTAACAATTCGTTTTGTCAAACGACAGGTTTCTACATAAAACCTTCAAGAAAATATAAAGACTCATTTACGAATATCAATCTACTGTCGTCATCATCGTCGTCATCGTCGTTGTTGTTATGATCAATTTTTTTTGTTGAACATAAACGTGTATATGCGCGCTAAATAAACACAAAGAAGCAGAGACAAGTCGTCATCATACCGTTAATTATTATTATTCTCAACACCACATTTTCTCGATTTTTTTTTCGTTTATCTGTCTTTCTATAATTCGTTTTTTTGTCTTTTTATTTTCACAAAAATAATTTTTCTTTTTATTCTATGGAAAAAATACGCATCCTCACTTATTGATTCTCTATATTTATTTTATAAAGATTTTCAAACGTGAAAGGGCATTCAAACAAAGAATTATTGTATAAACTATTGAATAATCGAAAATTGCTTTTTATCCTTCTTAATTCAAGTGAAAGAATCAGGCAAGTTCAGTTCTACTTTCATTTGTGACAACAAAGTTTGAATCAATACAAAGGCCATATAAACTATATCGAATAATATTTTAATTCGTCTCAATAGGATAGGATTGCAATGTATCTAAGGTAACGTTAAAAAAAATAAATAAAAGAACTATAAGTCTTTATATATACACATTGTACTTTATGTTTGTTATTTTATTCAAACACTCTTCGCAAATAAGTAAGCATGTTTATAAATCTGTAGTTCTCACATACTAGTTGAAACAATATTTAAATAGATGCAAGAAAAAAAGAAAACCACAGCCGATGTATAATTTACAAAACTTCTAGAAAATTTTGTCAAACAATAAAGAATCAAAAATATGTTGCATAATTTTTGCTTTCTATTAACATACAGGATGTTCTAAAAGTTCGTGCAAAAAGTTTACATGAATAAGGCTTAAGCCGTTTAAGAAATAAAAATATGCTTTTATTAATCCAATAGTATATGCATTGAAAGTTTCTTTTGTATATATTTGGATAAATATCTATGGTTATAAACATAAGAATAAAAATAGTTTAATCCAACGTCAAATTTAAGCCATTTATCGTCGTGAAAAGAAAATACAAATCGAATTCAGTCTATAAACGCCAGACAGATTATATTAGAAATCATTTTCAATGCTTTTACGAAATTAGTATAATAGTAAATGAATAACAATTTGAAAGACTTATAGCCTGCCTCATTTTACGAATAGTAGCAGGCGGAATCATGACTTAATATCTACGATGCAGCCATGCAAGATGCCATTTGTGCAAAATCTTTATAACGACAGTTCACAAGATTGATTTTAAGTCCTTAAATTTTGATACTAAGGTTAGGAAATATCAACAAATAGAAGAATTTGTTTTGTTTACCGAACGAATCCTATTTTCATTTAAATGGCTTATCGGTAAATATAAAGTGAAAACCTATGCATATATGATGTATATAAACGTTTATTTGAATTCAAAATAATAACCAATCATGGAAATAAATTAATTCGAAAATAAACTTTCTGCAGGATTCTATTTTTCAAAGACTTCTAAAAGGATCGATTTCATGTGCTTCGAATTCATGATAATCATTTCGAACAATTTTTTATAAAACAAATTTTATAAAATAAAACTTAAAAGAACATACTATCATATTATTTAAACAAAAAAAAATTTAATCGCTTGAAATATATAAGAGATATTTACGTGAATCATTGGTATGGACTTCTGAGTACCCTGTATAAATGTACATTTTATATAGTATATCGATGGATAGAGTGAAATAAATAAATACTTATGCATGTGATAAGCAGAACAAAATTTATTGATAATACTTCTAAAGAGATTATTTGAACAGTGATTTAATAGTATTAAAATTTACTATTTAACCCTTTCACGACGATTTGATTCTGCAGTGTTTTCGAAAATGTTTTTCGAGAGATTACAACTCAAACGCAAGGAGAAATGAAACTGAATTTTATATGAAACAAAAGTCTATCGAAAATGTGATTCAGGAGTATAACCGATAATTCATAGAATGATAATGGGCTGCAGAATCATGAAAAGCTTTAATATTTCAGGAGTATAATTGAGTAGCTTCACGGATGGTCACCAATAAAAACTAAATCTCCTCACAAAATTTGTTTCGTCTATCAGACTATGTGGAGCTACCTGTGCTGATTACTTTGGTAAAAAAAATTTTTAATTTTACAAATAAACGATGGTGCTAGGGCAAAAATACGGCAGTGTTATAGCTCCAACGATAGATCTACTTGAGATTTTTCAGTAGTTTGATCCTAGCACCGTCATTTGTTAGCCAAATTTAAAATTTTTTTAACCGAAATGATCAGCAGAGATAGCTGCATAAAATCTGCGTGATGAAGAAATTTTCTGAGAACGTTTTGTTTTTATGACCGCCTAACCAATGTACATTATGGTGTAAGTTACCGGTGGCTGACATCGCTGCGAAAGGGTTAACATGTACTCTATCAATATACTCAATTTTTCTATAAGTAATAATAATAGGATAAAAACACACTCAATTGTTTGCTTCACTGTCATTGATGATTTTTATTGAGAAAATTGTTCTAACGAATCAGTTTCAATAAATTAAATTTCATAATCATATCCTTGAGTTTTTTTAATTTCACCTTCATAAGAAGAAATTTGATTATTATAAAAGATGATCGAGAATTCAAAAACCCATATCCATGATGACTCTTATGTACTGGCATTAAAAAATTTATTTTAGAAAAAGAGGCACATTGCAAATTTTTAAAGACACTATTGATTCAAGTAATTATATGGTTTACTTATAAAAAGAGATCGTATTTTCTCACTTGATGTCGTCATTGAATGTGACTGACACAATTATTATCTATAAATATTCTAACAGACATTTCGGAATAAATCAAAAACAAAATTGCCATTATTAAAAGTATATATCAATACATTAATTTGTGACAACAGTAACTGCAAATTTTCAAAAATTTCCATTTTTTTTAACAAAATTTCAAAGTAGAAAAAAGAGAAAACAACAACAGAAAATGTACTGATGAAAAAAGTCGACAAGAAAAACCTTGAAAATTCATTCTTGATGACCCAAGTTTTCAAAAAACGTAGTACTTATTTTTATGCTACGACTGAGACTGTTGAAATTTCCTGTACTTATTTACGCTCATAGGATGGCGATAAAGATGTCTTCAAAATTTTACGGTAGCAGTGACTCTATCGATATCTCTACTAATAATTTACTGCAGAACAAGCTAAATATTGACGAAAAAACGTGCTTAATGACATTTGATATATTTAAAACATTTTTCTCTTCGTCATCTAGATCATATCAAATCATTAAACCTAATGAATCCACCTTTTTGACAGATGCATCTCAACATCGCCCAAAGGTGAAAAAAACATGACTAAAATACTACAAGTATTCTTTAATTTCTGTATGACAAATGATTAGCAACTGTTCGATTTCAATTATCTTGAGTTTTTACTTTGGTGCACGAAAGTTTTTAATTAATAATATTGGTATCATATGGCACGTATTAGAGAAGCATTCGGTAAAAAGAAACAATTATTTCTCAAAGATATTAGATTTGAAGTGTTATAACTCTTCGCAGCTTTTCAAATGTATTTATTTTGTAATATTAGTCCTTTTATAACAACACAAATATCAGTTAAATAGATCCATGTTTTCTTTTATAATAACAAAGTGCAAGAAAAGGACGAAAATACTTTGTAATATAATAAAAATTGTGACCAACCAGGCATGATTTGCACTATTTTACTTGAGAGAAATGTAGGTCATCTGATTTAACAAAATATTTTTTTGCTTGTTGAATGTTTTGCAAAATTTTGTAAAATTTTTGACGTTCATTATCAACCTGAAATATATACTGTGCGAATGATAATATTTTTTCACTTCATCAATTGTGTTATTCTAATTCAGCATCAGAACAACTTGTAAAACAAGAACGATAAATAACCTTGAGAAAAAAAAGAAAATATTCTATGCTTTTTTTTTTCAAATGATCAATGCCTAGTTTATTTTTAGAGCAATAATATCAAAACTTGCATTGAATAAGCTATCATTGTATATTTGTATAGTAAATATTGATTTAAGATAAAGGGAAAAAAAAGAAGAAAAGAATTAACTTTTCAGGTTAAAATGAAGAAAAAGAAAAAACATGTTCGCTCGTTTTATTGATATTGTATTATTACAGTAAGTTGTTTGAAAATTGATCAAATAAAAAAATGTCAAAGATCACGTTCATATTTTTTAATATTATAGTATGATCTATATATAGAAACATTCATTTTGTAAAGCAATAAAAAGAAAAAGACTTTGTTTGACAATCAGTGACATCTGTTAAAATTTAATAAAGGAAAATAAATTTCTAATGAAATAGATTGTGCATAAAAATTTAAATAATTTGTATTTTATTAAGCAATTCGTATGCATAAATAAATAAAAAAACGAATCGAACGCTGATATTACTGATAATTGATTGAAATAAATGTACCTTAAGCAAATAAATGCATGTTCGACGCGACATCGAATAAATGTCTCATATTGTTTGTTTTTTTTTTTCTTCTTCTGTTCTTTCGATCAGTCAAACGATCAACAGAAATGCGAGCTATTCAATGAACCGTAAAATTAAAAACTATTAAAAACAAAACAAATCGAAATCTACATTTAAAATATTTGTTTACGATATTCGATCGATATGATTTTACAAAGCTACAATGACATAAATTCTTTTTTTTTTATTTTCAATTTTCTAGATGTCTTCCTCAAAGGAATCCTCAAATAATTCTAATAATAACAATTCAACTTATCAAAATCATTTATCAGATTATGAAAATGATGCATATTTGTATAATAATCATTAAAATTTATTTATTTAATTATTTATTCATGTTATGTTTTTAGAAATTCGCAAATATATTCTCAACAACAAATATCAGGTCATGGTTTTGACCATAGAGGACAATCGTATGTTATATAATTAATTTAACTAGATATAAATTTATCGTTTTTGATTTAATCATTAGTTATGAAAATAATTTATTTCAACAAATGTGTCCTTTTCAAGATGATGCTGATGAAGATTTACCAAATGAAATAGTTGCTGAATTAGATGCAAGAAATCGTATACAAACAAATATTAATGATGAAGATGATTCGGTTTTTTCTGATGTTGTACAAGATGCTTTTAAAAAATATCAAAACGAGGTATATATATATATAAGATAGACACACATAAATAATTTTATCTATATTTTCGTTATATTTGTCGAATAGTCAAAATGTTGAAGTCATAATGATACGGTATTATTATAAAAACATATAAATATGTAACAAAAAAAAACAGAGAAAATTCAAGAAAGAGATTTTTATTTTTAGATGTGTAATAATAGATTCTCCAGAGAAGACTTATTTATTTTAATAATGAAGTATCTGCTTTCATTTTTATTTTGACTATTTTAAATGCTAAAAATCTAACCAATAATTTAATAACCTGAATTTATTATTGTTTGTAAGGATTTTCTTTGTTAGAGTTTTATTGTTTTATTTTTTAGCAAGATGAATTATATGCGCAAATGGAAGAATGTTGGAATTATATGAGTTCGGAAAATAATTTTGTTGATACACCAAAAGCTTCAGTAATTTAAATAAATATATATACATCTTGAGAAGATTATTTAAATAATTTTTTTTTTTCTAGATTGAACAACCTCAACAAAGTAAATTAAATCCGGATGCAGTTGAATTTAAACCATCATGGTTAAAATCATCGTCATCATCATCATCATCATCAAATACAACAACAAATGAAGGATCTTTTGTTATCTTGACATCTAGTCAACCTGAAGAGTCACAAAAAAAAATTTAAATGTTTGTTTGCACTATTTGAGAAAAAAACATCTACCATGTATATTTACTAAAGAAATTCATCTTTGTGACATTGTCTTTATTTTTTGTTCTATATATTTTTTTTTCTACTCTTCAACCATCTACGAAAGGAATAGAAAAAAAAAAGAGAATATTTGTCGACGTCTACCCGGCTTGGCATAACTGCTTATATGTTAGTGATTTTTATCGTAAAAGAAAAAAGAAAAAGAAAAAAGAAAAAAAAAACGGAAAAATTTTTTTTTAATGTCGACTAAAACTACTGACCTTCAGAAGAATTATGTGTAGATGTTTTTTTATCGTTACTTGTTCTTTCTTTCTTATTTCAGATGACGTTGCAATAGATTCGACGAAAATTTTCTTTCTTTTTTTTTTTCGAATGTCGTTTATCATTGAAAAATGACTATTTTGTCATTTGAATTTATTGTTTCTCTTTTTCTTTTCTTTTAACTTCGATGTTTTATTTCATATTTGAAATATAATAATACTTTTTGTATTTATTTTTATTTTTGTTTTCTTTTTATTTACAATAGATTCATTTTGTTTCATTATAAGAAAAAAAAAAAAGGATGGCAACTGCTCGATCTCGTAAATCACATTCTTCATGTAAACATATTTGCAGTAAATGTCGTTCACGTGATACAGAAAATTTATCTCTTGATACAAGTCATTTATCTATACCTATAACGGATGCAAATCCAACTAGAAATTCATATGAAAATACACCATCACCATCATCAAATGCATCAACAACTACAATGGAACCATCATCTAAATATGGTCATCGAATATTGTCATCAACTTTAAAAAGTAAAACTTGCTCTTTTTCTTTTTTCGAAGAAAAATAAAATTTTTTATTATTTTCTTTTTATTAAAAACAAAAGATGATCATTCCAATATGTCTATTAAACGCCGATCTCGTTGTGATAAACTTTTTCATTATACACAAATGATTAATCGACAATATATGATAACCATGACAAAAATTTTATTTCAAATGCAAAGAGAAGTTTATAAATTGAAACGACGTACACATCGTGTTGAACAATTAGTTATTAAACAAGCAAAAAAAGTTCAACCAATTATTCGTATTCCTCGTTTAACCAAAGGTTCTTAAAATAAAACAACAACAATATATATATATTTTTTTTTTTTGCTCATAAACAATTGTTCGTTTCTTATTTAGATCAACTTTCAACAATTTGTGTTAATAATAATGAAGAAATTTTACAAGATACTATAGCAATACCTGATAATAATAATAATGATATTAAAATTATTAAAAATACAAAATCAAATACAGCAAAAAGTATTAAACGTTTGAGTATGTAATTGTTTAATTCTTTTTTTTTTCATTCAGGGTCAAATATAAAATACGTCTAGGTACAAATCGTATTTTTTGACTTCTTGGACATCTAGTATAAACAAAAACGACTTACTATAGAAATTTTTCTCTAGAACTATTACCAACTGTAGCTCTGGGCAGCAGGTTGCCCTAACACAGAATCGAACGGATTATCCCAGACAAATAACCATCAATGACTTGTCAAACTGTCATCCCATGGTTGATGATATTGAAGCTTGCATCCAGTGCATCGAATTGCTACTCAAGAAAATAACTATCTGCTCATATTAGTATCATCTTCAACTTCATGAATTAATCATGTTAGAGTGTGAGCGATGTGTATCGTGTTAGCTAGGAGTACTCTTCTCATTCGATTCTGTTTCTATGGAAAATTTCAAATTGAATTCGTAAATAAGTTTTCCTAAGACGAAACACGACATTGACTTAAAAAAATCTGGTAATAATGCTATATTTTGACAGAAATAAACTAAGGACCAGAAATCTTTTCTCAAGATATTCATAGTTCATTAGATTCTGCATGATGCATATAGTCTTGAATCAAAACTAATTAATCAATTTGGAAACTTTCAACATAAGCTTGAAAATTTTGTCGAAAGTTGTATGACAAAAAAAAATATTGATATTGATTGTCTGAATGTTTATAAATGTTTGACACTTCTCGTTCGCTTGAACATCGTTTATAGATGATTGCTTATTAATTTTCTTTTTTTTTTTTTTGTTAGAAGAAAAGCATAAGCCTACAAAAAATATATTAACTTTATCAAAAAAATCTCGACCAACTATTTGGATAAATAATCGACAAAAACCTATTGATCCAAATAAATATTGTTCATTTTGTCAACATGAATTTTCAAAACGATCAAATTTTTTAATACATGTTAGAAATATTCATAAAGGAATTTTACCACCACTAATCAATGAACAAGATCAATCATTATTAGAAATGAATGAAGAACATATGGAAAAAAGTTTTAATGAACCAACAGATAATTCTTTAACTGAAACAACAAATGATCAAACAGGTAAATATATTATTATAAGAAAATTTATTTTTATGTTTAAATAGTAGTTACTTTTAATGATAAAATAGAAACATCACGAGCGATTATTGATCAATGGGATATTAGTGATAATAGATTACGTCCACGAACAGGTGCTAAAACAATTCATGAACCTCCACCAATGCTTGCTAAAATAAAATGTGATATTTGTAATAAATTTTATCGTGCTAATTATATGAAGGTAAGTATATTATCAATTTCAAAAAATTAGTAATTGTTTTTTTTTTTGTTTTGCATAAGAAAAATCTTAGAAAATTCTTTTTTTTTTTATCAAGATTGAATATATTCAATTCTTTTTTATTTAAAGTCGAAGAGTACATATTGACTTTCTTCTTTTCTTATCATAAACAAAACGAAATGAAATTTCTATCAATATGAGTGTGTCTTTTTTTTTTCTCTGTCATTCTCATTTGATAATGAAAAACTCTGTTTTTCTAAATCATATTAAAAATGAAAAAAAAAAAGACAATCATTTTTAAAATTTTGCACAAAACTAACTTGAGAATTTTTATTACATATATATACTTCAGAATGTTATGAATCAATTAACGATTTCAATTTTTACTTCAGCTATTTTTGAAAAATTATTCGAAATTTTAAAATAGGAAAGAAAAAAAAAGAACAAGATTTTGTTGATAAAAACAACCATTTTTTATCTTCTCATATTGCTAATTGTAACCTGTCAGACTTGATCATATCTCAAATAAAATAAGAAAAGAAGAAAAAGTTTGTATTAGCAGTTTATTTATAGTAGTCCAAAGAATCCAGGTCGTAGTATTTTTTACACAGTTAATTCTTAATTCTCTGAGAGACAGCAGGCATGCTTCAATAATTATACTTTTTTTCTATTATTAGTCATTTAACAATCATTTATTAGAAGGTTTATAGAAAAGACGCATTTCACTAATGAGATCTGATATGAACTAGAGAAAAAATTAAGTTAATATCAATAGTATATTATTAGCCATACAATATAAAGAATTTTTGACAAAATAATTACCATTTTGAGAATAAATTTGTTGAAATAGTTTTAAATAAACAGGATGACAATTACACAAGAAAAAAAAAAGGTTCAATTATCGTCATTATTCATGTTTGTTTTTAATTCTATTCAAACTAAATCATTTATTATTGCGTTTTGATTGTTATTTCATTATCAAAAAGAACATCTGAAAATAGAAGTAATTTCACAACAACTATGATTTATGTAGCATTATGATTCAGAGAAATCAGATGATTTGCTAACAAAGGAAAATTCCAACTGTAATCTACCGGTTGCGTCATATTGGAATCATGGGAAAGTCTTGTAAAACTGGAAAAATCCTAAAAGTATTCGTTTTCATGAGTCTGAAGTCGAATTATGACTGTTTGACTGAATTTTCGACATAAAATTTAGTTTATCATAAGTCTAATTAGTCTAAGAATATTCATCTGTCGAGATATGGAATTTCCAACAAATAATCACTTGCTTCAGAGATTTTTTAACGAATCATCAAAATAGAAATTTAGAAAAAATGATATAATAACTTTAAAGTTATATTTCGTTTTTGCAAGATTGTTATAATGTTTATTATTTTTGAAAAAAAAACAATTTTTTCGAAAGATAAAAAAAAACCAAGGAAAAGAATAAGAAAACTTCTTAGTGGAAGTTAGAATAATGGTACTCTATTTATAATACTAATCTCATGGTATTGAGTCAATTCAACTTTCTTCATTTAACAGGAAACGCTTGAATCTATGAATTTTCACCGAAATACATATTTAAGTTTATCCCTTCCTGTGATAGAATACCATTGCAGACGCGTCACTGAACAATTTTTGTAAGAAAAATTCACTCTTTCTTTTAGACAAAAAAAAATCGTTTTTTTTTTTAAGAAGGACATAGCTGGAAGCCATCATGACTATGAAAGTACACACTAGAGTAGTTAACCATAGCTTTTTCTCGAAAAGTAATTTTTTTTTTTTTTTTATGACATTTAATTTCTTTTTTTAATTCAATTGTGAGCAATACATATCGTTTATTGCTATCGAAGATTTAAAATTTACTCATCGACATTACTAAAATTGAATTCTTGCTTTGTCGATTTTTTTGTTTCAAACTGTCTAAATACAGAAAATTTCAAAGAAGAATTAACAGATCTTTAGTCAATAGTAGTTAAATCAGCTTATTCTTCGAAAAAAAATATAAGCTGTTTTCGGTAGAATTTAATAATCAGGCAGAATTCAATCTTAAAATCATATTGAAGAAAAGTAATTTGATATGCTGTATAATCTGTTTACTTATGTTTTTTTTTTTATATGATCACGTAGAGATCAATGTGACTAAAGAACTCAATAAAATAGTACATATGTTAAAATTAGTTAGATTTTCATTATTAATAGTTTTAAATTTTTGTAATCTCGTCAAAGAAAAAGATGCAAAAGTATACATTGCAAATATTATTAATAAATTTTCTAATGGAGAAAGTCACTTAGATGAGATACTAACAAAAGTTATTATTAAAAACGAAATAAAAGTGATAGTCGATCTGATTTGTAAATTTTGTTGATTAAAAT